AAAAGACTTTGCCAACATGATCTCTCATAGAAATATTATTGCTTTATAAAAGCACACAAGACTATTYTTTTCTTGGTTACACCATTTCAACATTACTGTGAGGCATTGGATCCGTGTAAATGAGAGGAGAATCTTTCTCATTTCACTGGTTATTTGTATTCCAAAGGAGCAGATGCCTTTCAAATTATGCAAAAACCCACAGCGCATCTTGTACTATAGCAGATGAACAGGTTAATTTTTCTTTTTGCACATAATAAATCATAAGTGCTTTAACACCCATAGTCGCATTTCATGAACATAAACCTTCTGTTTAATAATGTCTGTTTACAACTAGAATCAGACATCCAGTAATCTCTTGCCTGGGATAAACATTAATCCAGATCTGTCTAGAAAAATTATACAATTCATTACCATAAGTAATCTCTATTGTGCCCCATGCTTAACCTTCATCTTTTTTCCTGTCCTATAATCTTGCAAATCCACTGGTGGTGTATGATTGGCATCTGGTGTTAACGCAGCCTTCACTGCACACAGCGCAGCTGAAGAAGCCCGACAGGAACACGTCACTCTGCAGGGTAACGCCGGTTCAGCTGACCGCTTTTCACAACAACTTTCACCAAAGGCRGAAAAAAACCCCACAAGCCAAGGAGAAAATGGTCCAACAATATCATTTGCCACAGAGGGGACATTTTCACTTTCCAAACCATCGTTACTATCCACAAAAGCTAAAGGTGGTGCTCTGATTTTTCCGTAGTATCTCTGGACAAACCATCACACACCATGTCCAAGCTGGAACACACCATGTCAGGGGACTTTAAGGAATGGAAATGGATTGGTACAGAGTAGAACAAAAGCTATTATGAACATGTCAAAGCAGTTAGAGATTATTCACAGGCTCGATCACAATATTTAAGCAACAAGACATGACAGACAGTGTCTTTCCAGAGGCTTATGAACACTCTTAACTGTGAGGAAAAGAATGAGGCCAAAGGCTTCAACCCCAAGAAAGGTAATCCCCAGAAATGTGGTGTCTGGAATGTCTTCTTGTATTATGAGAGAGAGAACACAGGAAACTTAGGACAGGAGAAAGCCAGTGAGTCTATCTTTCTATACATATTTTTTTTTTTTAATTTAGGAGTTACACTTTTTCCCCAGGCCTGCTTATAGATGYTTTACATCTATGAGGACAGAAAATAAAATTTTCTTTCAATTATTTGGCCACAATGCAATTTTTGACATTTATAAAATTATGTGTGTCTTAAATCCTCACCCAAATTATCTGACCCAGTGATCTCCTGCTACTCTAAATTTTCTGGGTTGAATACATACAGCACAAAAAAGCATTCCCTGCAGAACAATCCAGATGAGAGTTTTAGCAATATACAGTCTTCTACCCTTGAATTTTCAGCTCACATACTTCCTGAGGATGTAAAGACGTTGCTCCTATTTGATCAGTGTTTTCAGGCTTGTGGGGAGTAAGTGGATGCATCATTTTGACAGAGACATGGA